CAAAAAAAGAAAAACAGAAGAATTTAAAAATATCTTGTTACATATATATTTTAAGCACAATTCTTTTCTTTTATTATTATTATTTTCCAGAAAACAATTGTATGGAAGCATAATTCTCAGCAAAATTTATTTTGAAATTTATTATGCAAAACAGCTATGCAATATGCAAAAAGGCATTGCATTGCTGTATTTAAATAGCATTTAATCTGCAAAGATCAATAAACGTATATACAATTTACATTTGCCAACCACAGTTATACACATCTATTCAATTTTTCTATAAAATTTTATATGCAATTTTGCAACTTATAAAGCTGTAATATCTATGTAAAGTAACTAATTTGCATATTAAATCCATGGTTGGAGAAGGCTAATTAATCATTTAATTTTGCATATGTGATGGAGAAGGCAAATTACTATTTTTTTTTTCCTCAACTTATTTTCATTTTCTCCAACTTGGCGGGATTTAAAATCACAAATAATAATAAAACATTAACATTGACCCGCTATTAGCACAAATATCTTTCATTTACATTCTAGGTTGACATGCATGATTTAATCTAGAGAAATGCTTGATGCTAATATTTAATTCTGCTCATGCAGACAGATTGAGAAATGAGGGAAAGCTCCTGGAAGTGCGGTAATTCATACGCAGGGCTGCTGATAGCATTAAGCATGTAGAAGTAGGTGAACTCATTAGCAGAAACAGGTGTGATGGTCACTATGGCAACTGCTGGTGCTGAGGGGAAACTGAGAGGGAAATGAAGAACACATGCTTGAACACCTCTGAAGCGTTCAGTGTTTACTAGGCTTACTAGTCAGTGTGTTTGTGATATTCATGATATGTAGCAACATATAAGTAGCAACGAGATTGGCCACCTCACGTCAATCACACTTGTCTTGTTTAAAATGGGCGGTTCTTAGAAAAAAAAAGGCAATGTGGAAAATACTGTAAGAGTCTATTTAAATTAAATTTTTAACAATAGCAATGTTTCCATGCAAAGTCGCAAATTTATTTTATATGCAAAATCAAAAAGTATTAGTTTATATGAAGTTGTCATAACCGAGAGAACAGCTTTGCATTTGAAATGACATAGCTGGTGTGTGGTGTGCGGTCTGGTGCAAAATGGCTGCCGTCGCGCCATCCAGATGGATGCTGCACACTGGTGGTGGTCGAGGAGATTTTCCCCCCATTGTGTAAAGCGCTTTGAGTGCCCAGAAAAGCGC